ACATTTAAATTTAAATAAAACATACATAAAATTGTTGTAATTAAATATTCATCACTGAAATACTTGTCAAAGAGACTTGAAGAGATTTTTTGTATGCATTTTATATAATCTAATTCGAATTTTTAAGATGATTTATACGCCAAGAATAGAGAATACTTAATACTTGGACTCATTAAATCATAGAAAGCATCCAAATTTAATTTGTTTATCATATTCTCTCAAACATAGTATATATACAAATATAAGTGGTATAGAATTAGCAAACACTTGCAGCTATAAATTAACTTTGAGGCATTTCCTATATAAATTAATGAGTGAATGTGGGTTTTCCTTAATGCTTAAACTGAAAGCTCACACAAAATAATTTTTTATTATGATCTTAATTTTGCACAGGATGTTTATGGCTAAAAAGATTTATAGTAATAATTTGGTTTATTATTTTTCAAGTACTTGCCGCTCTTGTGGCAATAAATTAACTTAAGAACTTCTGTTTATTTTTCTATTAATTATATAAGAAAGAACCACGATTAAATCACCTGAAATTACACTATATTCAAAGCCAAGTCACATTATGCTGGCCCATAAAATGAATGTGGCCCAAAAGCGAATACAAAAGACACACGGACTGAAGCATATTGGCCAACGATAGATAGATATTTAATTAAGATGAATGGCTCTCAAGGATACCCGGACTAATGCGGTCAAAGCGAGATAAATCTTTGGCTACTTTTAGCGTCCTTTGGGACTGGACGACTCACAAATCATTCATGGCACACACGGCGAGTGATGACAGTTTAAACGAGTATTCAATCCGCTCGTTCACGTTTCTCGTTTGGTTAGTCGCTTGGCCCTCTCGCCTGATGAGACCCATTATGTTGGCCATGTCCTGGCAACAAAAACGAGCAGAGAAGAAAAGAAAAGAATCCTAGTGGTGGTGGGGAGCAAGTGGCACAGGACACAATGTTGACATAAACAAACACCAGGGCATTTGTCTGCGCCTGAATGATTGCAGAGACAACAGCAGCAGCAACACACTGACACACACAAGATTTTTGCCCCCAAACACGGACTCGGAGTAGGGGTCCGATTCGGGGTCCACGTCCTGGTCCTTTACCATGTCCTTGTGCCCCCTTAATCGTGTTTGTAGGTCAGTTTACCCTTGCCATTATCCCCTCCGACCCTGCGCCGTTTGCATTCCCAATAATCAGAGTCCGCCAGCCGTCGTTGCTCTTGGCCTCACTAATTTGTTTGGCCCCGGACAGTGCAGGAAAGGGGGAATAGTACTTACTCTAAGGGGGTGAGAGAAAGCAAGTCTCAGTGAAAGTGTTATTTTTTTTAGCTGTCCACCAGCGGGTTCATTTCTCATTTGCCGGAGGCGGCAGCCTGCGTCAGTCTTATCTCAATTAGGAGCCCATTCATCCGGGCAAGATCTCTCCTTGGCACTTCACTGGCTGACAGTTGACGACAGTTGCTGGACTGTGCACAGTGTCCTTTGCTGGGATTCCCCTGTCCTTATGCTTTCACTTTCAACCAAAACAAAAAAAATCAATTGGCAATGACTGATGTTTGAATAATTAGCACATTTTTTAAGGGGCACCTCAACAGCTGCAGCTGAAAAATATTTATCATCTTTGATTAACGTTGTTTTATTTATTAGTTTTTCTTTTGAGAGTTACCAATCGTTTGCATAAAATTTAATATTGAAATATAGAACTAAAATAAATTGTCTAATAATCTCTAAACATCTTCACATCAATGTTTAATGAAATGAAAAGAAATGGCTTTATAACTTGAAATGTGTTTTGAGAAAAAGAGGGAAAAGTCAAGTGAAAGTAAACATGTTTTGGTTTTAAAGCAAAGTAGTTAAAATAAGTACAAGTGCTTTAAATAAGACAAATATTAAGTCAATATTTAATGACTTAAATTAATTAAAGTCCTATTAAACAAGCGTATACTTATCATTTTAAAAGCCTAAGAAATAAGAGTCTTTCAAAAATTATGGCTTCAAGAATAGGCAAAGAAATTTATTCTATGTATGTATATATGAGGATATTTTTTTATGCAAACTGAAATAAAAATTCCTTTATTGTCAGAATTCCTAATAAGATTAAAGCCATTAATCAGCACAGGTGATGGCGCACGTGACTTAGGCATATACATACATATTAATTACAAATTGTTGTCGAAAGCAAACTCAAGTTAAATCATTGTTTCTTTTTGCGGAAATATGTGTAAAATATATATAAACATATGTGCATGTTTTCTTTTCTTGGAAACATTTTGAAGAGAGAATGCTAAGAGGATTGGAATCACGCTTTTCCAAAAAACAAATGGCAAGGACAATGAGGAATATAATGCGAAACTGGAACTGGAACCCCGGTCTTGACTGGGGGCACTGTGCACATGCCAGGGCACATGGCTCCAAGCCCCAGGCAGGTTGGCATCCATCCATCCATCCAACCATCCAACCATTGCTCCTTTCATCCTCATCGTCTCCTTTTGTGCCGCGTGAGTGCCGAGTGAATGAGGGGTAGAAAATTCTTTAAACAGTGACGCAAATGCGGGATGTCGTGTAAATTTCACACTCGGACTTTGCCAGACTGATTGTGGCACTCAAGAGCAGTCCTCGAGAGCATCAGTCCTTCAGTGCTTCAGTGGTTCCCAGCTCCATCTCCAGCTATAGTGGTGCAGAAGTGGTGGCACACACAACACACCCCTCGACTCGATGCAATTTGCGGATGAAAACCACTGGAAACTTGGTAGGTTCTGCTTGCGGTCCTTAATCCGCGATTGATACTGCCGTTAATCACACAGCCGCCAAGTACTTTTGTACACTTTTTTCCTTGCTGTTCATCTTACAAGTTAAAGTGTCCTGAATACTGCCAGGACAACGACCGCACTCAGGGAGATGGAGAGATGAAGAGACAGAGAATGAATGCCTGGCAGGCAATTGCTTATTAAAGTCCAATTATAAGTTTTGGGCAATCAGGGAGCGACGTGTCCTTCGTACTTTGGCTAAAATGTCCTTTGTTCATGCATAAATTTAATGGCGCGTTATCTCAATTTTGTGCCTTACTGACTGCACAAAAGTTAATCACATGTGGGTGGAAATCGCATTTAGATATTGATTTTGTTGTGTCGTCTACTAGCTTCCTTTTTTTCTCTTGGTATTTTCCTCTCCAGGAGGTTGCACACACACATACTGGTCTACGAGTGTATATCGCTCCAGCGGATTATAATGCTCGAGTATAATCTCGAATGAAAGCGAATGTCTTGAATTCCGCAAATTAAGAGCACCAGGGACAGGACGTCGCAGCAGACTTTGACTTTGGGCAGGGTCTTTGCGCTTTATTTTTCCTTTTTTTCGTCCTTTTCTTAGCCTTCCCCGGTTTCGACGCTTTTCTGGCTTTGCGCCTCACGCTTATTATATATATTTTTTTGTTTCTTGCTCCTCAGTGCTCGTGTTGTGGCACTTGATTCATGCTTAGCCGGAATACTTGGCATAACTTTTGCTGTTTCCAGCGCTTATTTTATTTCACTTTCTGGCCCTCACGCCCACTCACGTCCTTGCGCCCTGCCCCTTTTGATGCCTCGTCCTTTGGTCCCTCGTCTCTGGTCCATTTCCCATTTCCCTTGGCCAGGACTTTGGCCAGCTCGCATTACTGTAATGAAGAACAGCTCAGCGCTCGGCCTGTCACTTGAGACGGATACGGCTAGAGCTACGTCTACGGCGGAGGCGGAGAATCATCCCGAGATGGAGCAAGGAGCAAAGAGTAAGGAGCACGAAGCCATGTGCGACACGCTCACGCATCTGCTCCTGCTTCCGTCACAATAGAGAAAGGTCATATAGTATAGGGTTCTTTGCACTGGGAAAAGAGAAGGGGAAAAGGGGGTATTTCCAACCTGAAGCAGGCAATTTTTAAGCTCTTTTTTGCTGTCTATACATTAAACTTAACAAGACATGATTTGGGATCGAATCCGATATCAATCATTCGCATTATTTTAATCAATGCCAATTTTTTCGCCTACTCATTTTTTAAAAACTTAATAACTCAGCTAAAATAGCATTAATTTTAATTCGGAAAGTTTTCTTATGCTAGTTTTTGCAAGGTAATTAAATCTGCATACTCAGTTTAACATTTTAAAAAATTCCATTTTTTTAGATTTTTTTGTTTACAATTTTAACGAAAAAATGTTAAAAATGTTGAAAAAAATAGATTTTGGTCGGACATGGCTCGATCGATTCAGATTTTAATGCTGATCAGGAATATATATGGTTTATAGGGTCGGAAATGACTCCTTCACTGTTTTACAGCCTTCGGACTACAATTAAAATCCATTCTATGAGCCAATATTTATTTATATTTTTATACCACAATTTTTGCGACCAACCAAAGTTTAAAAAATGCATAACAAAGCCAAAAACGAATTAAATTCCATTCGGAAAGCTGTCCTATGTTAGTTTTTATTATGGTAACAAATCAGCATACTCAATTTAACATTTTAAAAGATTCATTTTTTTTAGATTTTTTTTTGTAACATTTTAACGATGTAACCCCTTATAAAATGTCGAACATTTTGAAAAAATATTGATTTTGATTGGACATGGCTAGATCGATTCAGCTTTTAATGCTGATCAAGAATATATATGATTTATAGGGTCGGAAATGACTCGTTCAATAGATTTCAAGCTTCTGACTGAAATGATAATACCCTGCACGGCTATCAAAACACAAAAAGAAATAAGCTTATTTCATTGCCGTATTCTTAATTTTCTTAATAATAATATTTCCTAATAATGTTTTCTAATTAATTTTCCAATTAAGAAATTAGTTTAGCCCTAATTTGGACCAAATTATATATTGAAGAGAAGCTCTTTCATTATCTTGAATTATGATTAAAATGCTCACTTATTGTATCTTCAAGTGTAGGAGTTAACCTGAGCTCCATAAGTGGCACATATGAGTTTGTGGGGTAATAATTCATTCAACTATTTCCAGAATTACATCAGACCTTCACCTGGACAGCTCCTCCTCCTAATGTTGGGTAAATTCACCTCGAACCATGTCCAGGTCTATCACCAGTACTCGCGTCCAGTGCCCGTAAAGAAGCCCGTTAAGGTGAGTGAATATCCTTCGAGTCTTTTGGGAGTCCTTGGTTTGTTTTCGTTTTCGTTTTCGTTTTACGTTTTCTTGTTTTTCGTTTTCGTCCTGCTCCTGCAAAGCAAACACAATTAGCATGCATTAACAGAGAGGGAAACCCTTTCATTGGCATTCCTTGAAGGGTCTCATAATTGGGTGCAAGGTGAATGGGTATAAAATTCCGTGGTATTTATTTTTGTTTTGAATTTTTGCGTGTGTTTCGTCCTGGCATTCGTTTTTCATTTGTTTATATTTGTTTGCCGTTTTGTTTACATGCACAAAGACCGGGTCTCTTAATACAGGTGCTTTTCTGCTGCTTTAGTAGTAGTATCCTTTTTTGTGGATGCTTTCAACGCCAGGATGTGCGGTGTGCATGACACGTGACAAATCCCCGGGGAAGATGAGTGGAATAATATCCTTTCTGCATGCCTGCACGACAAAAGACAAAACACAGAACACACTAGCCAGACAATTAATAATTGATATTTCATAATTGTTCTTCTCAAACCCTGCAGGCCGAGAAGCCTCGCTCGCAGGCGGCAATCAATTGAACCGGATATCGAGGATACCAATAGCGATACTGTGCTCCTGTGACCTTCATACAAAAAAAAAAAAAAAAAAAACACCCAACTCCCATCCAAGTTTCAGTTGTTTATGTGTGCGTGTCTGTGCGTCCGCTGACGACGGACGATGTTGAAACAGAAGCGTTTGGCCAAGCAGAAGCCCAAAGCGAAGCCGGTAAGCAAAATCCAAGTCCCTCTGGAATCTGGAAGAACCAATCGATATCTTCTTCTCCTGATTATCCTCCCCCATTTCCTTAAACACACCTATCTCTCTCTCTCCAGGTGCTTTTAATTTGATCTATATAATATCTTTCCCCGCCACAACTCTCTCTCCTCTATTCTATCTCTGCCATATAATTGCTATTTGACTGACTGCCAAACTGCTTTGTCCTGGAAAAACTTAAAAAAAAATCTCTACTCTACAATTACCTCTTCAGTTTTCCCCCCTTTCAATGGCCTTGGAAACTGTCTAGTTCTAGTTTGTAGCCAAACTATTGCCAGTTCTTGTTCGTAGAGTTTTCTTTTTCAACTATATCGTGGTAATTAGTTGGCCCCAACTTTATTTTTTGTGGGCATTTCAAGTATTTATTGCGAAAACTATTTTCAGTAGCTTGCTTTCTCACCTACATAGATTTGTTGCATATAAATATATATATTTATATAGTATATAGTTGGTTAATTAGGTCGGTTTCTTGTTCTCACTTCTTGCCAACATTTTGCAAAAGTGAATTGCAGTTAATAAAGTTATTGTAGTTTTGGGTAGATTATTAAAATTAGTATTCATTTATTTCCTAGTTAATTCATCTAGTTAAATAGATTTTATTGAGAGAAACGATCTCTTTACTTTGAGTAGTTTCATAAATATAATTTATTTCATTTAGTTTTGTCTAAACCTCTTTTGAAATTAAATACATATGTTTTCTGTACTTTTTAATTATTAAATTCTTTACTCATTTTTTAATTAAGTAATGTGTGAAACCATTAAGGAAGAGATTTAATTTTTAAAATTTCTTAACAGCAACTAAGTCTCCTTAAAGTAGATACTTTATATCTCTTAGGTTGCTGATTTCAATTAAAGTTCATTTTAGCTTTAGAACTTATCAATACTTTTCCAAACTATAGTTTAAACTATTCAAAGTTTCTATTAAAAGTTGTATCAATTTGTTAAACCGTAGGCAATAGAAGAAGTGTAAAACTAACTTCAAAGTGAAATCTAGAACAGGCCGTGCCAATAAGTAAGGGGAACGATTAGCCTTAACCGCCTGAAAGTATGCACCAAATGCTTTTAAATGTCGAGTATCTTGTGGATTGCATTCTCTGAGATACTTGGATTCCTTATTTCTTGTTCCATCAGTTAGTTGACTGACAGCTGCTTATCGCCGGAAAGCGAGTTGGTGGCCAGCTGTTTGACTCGAAACTTTAATTGTTTGAGTTGCGGCCGCGGGTGGCGGCCAGCCTAGCACTAAAATGAGTGCAGAAAATGAAAAACTTTTGAGAATCAACATAATTATGGCTTGCACACTTTATTCTTTTCATGCTGGGCATTAAACCGCCTTTAAAGTGCCCAAGTTTTTCCGTCAAACTTTTTGCCCCGAGTTTATTTACTGCTAAACACAACCCGTGCTCGAGATCGCCGAGAGCTTAGTACTTACTCTCTCTTCTCTCTGGGGAGCTTATCGCTCTTCGTTGCTGATATTCTATATTCTATATATATTCCCTCTCTCTCTGTCCCACTGAGGGGGTTCGATTATATTGGAGCTATATTGGCGCCGCTAATTGACACCGCTCTCGCCTTGGGCGAGTGGGAAAAGCTCTCCGCTCCAGTGTCGTCGCGGTCTCAGTGCTCGACGCGGCTCCATGTGAGCCAAGCGGGAATCGTTCGCTCCGAACGCGCCTACACCGCGAGAAAAATAACAAGAAAAACATAACATAAAATTGGAAATATATTCGGTATATTATTAATAGAAGAGCTTGGAACACTTTGTAATTGTAGTCATTATTTTTGAGTACTTTAAAAAGGTAACAGGCTCATAAATTAAATTCTTTTAACCAAAAACATGATAAGGAAATGTCAAGATAAGAATAATGTCACTGTCAAGCGTAAAAATTTTATGACTAAGCTGAACAATATCTAAACTCGACTTTCAAAAATCAATAACCAGTAATAATTAACGAATTTCAAATACTCTGTTTAGGTATTCGAAATAACATGGTTTAGCCCTAATAGTTAACATTTAATTAAATAATATTTACATGATTAAAATAAAAATGTTTTTCTTTTATAAAAAGGTATATCATACCTTTACATTTAATAGGGATGTGAAATCCACTTTTCGTTTGATTATAGCCACATTCCTCCTATCTAATAATTAAATGATCAGTTCTTAACTTATTGCTCACTATTAAAGCTCGCTTGTTTCCAATTTTAGTTAGTATTTTTCTTTCTGTGTATCGTAAACATTGTTCGCCACGCGATTAGATATACGGCCGAGTGTGTTTTGGAGTATGTGGATTCCGTCAAGTGCATCTGGAGCTGGCCATGTACTTCGAGACCAATTGGGTGTTTGTGAGTACAACTGGAGGGCCCTGGCTGAGTAATTGTCGTTAATTGGCAGAGAACTGCACTTTGTTGTGGTTTTCTGAATTCTAACCGGTCTGCTGGAGAATTCGCTTGACATATCTGTCGCCTTGTGTTTTGTGTTAATCAGCAGCTGTCGACTGTGATGTGGTGAGAGTGAGCAAGCTCCATGGAAACTCTCTTCTGAATATGGGGGAGAAACCTCACCAAAGTTATGGCTATTTGGCAAAAAGCTTGAAACAATATATATATATACATAAATATCTAATATTTACCAAGATAATGGGTAATAATCATACATGTTTTGTTTGTCAAATTGTCATGTCTGTGTGATAAGAATAATTGTTTCTTATTTACAAGCTAAGGGAAATATATTGTAGGGGTCCATGTCTTGACCATTGCATATCTTGAAAACTATCAGATACTTTATTTTTTGAATTCATAAATTTAATAGAATATTCGCTAGATTAAACAAAGCTTAACATATGTTTTAAATAAGAGTTCATGATATCAAAGATATCAGAAATCATTAGGGGCTTTCTAACCCTTTAGATAATCTTACCGATTCAACATCAATTACAAACAGCTTTAGTTTTTACAATAGTAAAAAAATACCCATTTCTGTGAACTCTTTCAAATGAGGTAATTTAAATCAGACAACTTATTCGGTATCCTTCCCTGAAGCCTATCATGTTCCATAAATGCATCTCATTGACAGCACTGATTCTGTGACAGTGCGAAAAGGAAAAAAAGGAAAACTTTGTGTGAAGTCTGAGAAAGTCAATTTCGCACTCCCATTGCGACTCAGCCATGCAAAGGCGGGACTCTGAGGAGACCCTTACCACTTCATTGGCCGCAATCCATCACCACGACGACGACGTCTCTTGGCATTTTTCGAGAACGAATGTGGCACTTCATCAGCCATGGCAACAGCCGCAGCATGGCAGCCTCAGCTACATCCTCAAACTACAGCTCCATGCTTCGCCAGCAATTTTCCACTTTGAGAACCCGCAAGTCGACAGCAGGTGAAACACTGGAAAACCACCTGCCACCTGGCCACAACCCCTTTTGGAGATGTTGCTTTATATTATTCCCTGCCTTTGCATTATGCACGAACGGATGGAATGACGACGCTTGATGCGGGTATTAAGTGCTGTTTATGTTGCACAACTTTTATCGGATTCGATAAGGCGGCAAGGGAACAGGTGGAGACCAGGTGGCCCGGCAAATTGCATCCTGCGGCTTTGATCCCAACCGCCAGTGCATCAATTTTTATACGCACGATTTTATGCCGGATGCACTGCTCTTAATCGAATCCTGAAAATGGCTGCATTTCGACTTCCATGGCACATTTCCGGTCAGCGGCCATTGTTCCGCTGATTTCACGTGGGAGTTCGAACAGCATCACATTCTGGCTAATTAGTTTAGTCATTTCCGCTTGGAAATAGGGTCCCAATGGTACTATTTTCACTTTACCCATTGAAATTATCATGAATTTGAATGGAGTGCTTAAGAGGAGTTAACTCTATTAACTTAATTAATATTGTTATCTTGTCAGTATTCTCACTATAGTTTAGCAATAGCATAAAATCGATTGGTAATTCTTTTAAATTTAACAAAATAATATAGAAAGGGTATATAACCTTCGACTAGACCCCAAATTTAAGAGCACCTTTCGTTTTATTTTAACAACAAGCCATCAAGTCAGGCGTCAATGGCTTTTAGCCAAAGGCTCTCTGTTGTATGGGGCGCTGGACGTTTAATTAATTTGAAATATGCCACATTTGCTTCCGCATCAACTGAACTGTGTGTGTTTTATGCCCACACAAAAGTTTTGT